AGTATGGAGCACTGCCGGGAGCGAACATCCCTGCTTGTTTGAGGGAGTCATGGCAGAAGGTGGCCTCTGTTCCTGGGGACACTGCTGTGTCGTCGGTGCCGCCTTCCGGCCACCTCGAACATTCTTTCTTCCATCCCAGGGATGGCGTCACCCCCAAGCGGACTGAATCCAGAGCAAGCCAGTGAGCACCAGAGCTGTGGATCAGGGAGGTCCGAAAGCCCTGCTTTCTCTTGACCTCTAATGATATGACCCACTATATCTCCCTATTATTTAAACCAGTTTACTTGGGTGTTTGTAATTTACAGCTGAAAGCAGGGTGGATGGCTGAGGGGGTAGAGGTGGAGGGGGAGCCTGTGGGCGTGGGGTCACCGGGCAGTACCAGTGCAGCCAGGGTCATTCTGAATATTGAGAGGGGCAGGGCCAGTTTCACAGACTACCCCCTCGGCATCACAAGAGGCCTGGGCTCTACTTAAATACTCTGCTGTTGCCATCTTGAAATGCCTAACAATTTTTGAGCGAGGGTCTGCATTTCCACCCTGCGCACCTTCCATAGCCGGTCAGGGCAGGTGCACCACGTCTTGGGGGGGGGGCGGGCAGAGCACCGGTATTGTTGAGGAGCCTCCGTCCCCCCCAGGGACAGAAGGGCATGTGCACTCCTGGTCTAGTGTCATGGGGCCTCCTGCCAGGAAGCCTCTGCTCATACTACCCCACTGCAGGCCTGAGACATCGGGGTCGGCTCAGGCCCCCTGGGCGCCCCTAGGGGTGTGGACAGAGGGAGAGAGTCATGGCTCATAGGAAGTTTCTTCCCCATTTGCAGGAATTTGGGGACATTTATAGCCAAAGTTAAAGTTTAATGGTTTGATTGTTTAAGAGCTGAATAAACAAGCAATACACACACACACACACACACTCACGCATGCACACACACTACAATGTTTGCTGGACCTGAATTAAATTGACTGTTGTGAGCTTCCTCTGCCCTCCAGAGACCTAGCTTTGATTCACAGAGGAACTGGCCTGCCCTTACCGTGTGTGTGTGTGTGTGTGTGTGTGCGCGCGCGTGTGTGTCTCCACACATCCAGGTGGCAATGACGCTGCCTCCGCCGGCCTGGCCCAGGCGGTCTGGCCCCTTGTGTCCTTTCATCCCACTAATGTTGTCACTGAGTGATTGTTACTTTGGAGATAATTAATGTGTCCCATTTTAGTGCAAAAATATACCTTGTCCCAGGTCACATGACAAATGTAACCATAAAAAGTTTAAAATGCTATTATTTAAAATTTATTTTCTCATAAAAAATGGTTCCTGAAATGATCATAATTTGAATAACTTGCTCTATAGTTATAACACATTATGCCCTGGCCAGGGGCCAGCTCTGGGAACCCTGGAGCCTCAGGAGATCTTCCCCAGGACTCTGTCCCCCTGCCCCCCACAGCACCTGCTCCTCCAGATGCTCAGGCCTGTCCGTTTCACAGAAACCCCAACCCGGGCTGCAGGTCATCTGTTTCCGCTCCTTCTCCCCGCCCCTAAAATGGCATTTTGTTATTTTTCGGTGAAGTTATTGGGAAGGTATAAGGATTTTTCTTAGAATGGCTTTAATTTTTTTTTAAGATTTATTTTTATTTATGCACACAAGAGCTGGGGTGCAGGCCAGAGGTATGGGGGGGGGTGAGAGGATTCCCCAGAGACAGAGTGGGGAACAGAACAGGCGGATCCACTGAAACACACTGCTGAGGGGAGCAGCGGGGAGACAGGAGAGGTCTGCTGCGCCATGTGTAGCTCCCTGGCCGGGGATGACACTCGTGCTGCAGAGGCTGCGGACAGCTTCACAGTGCTGAGCCTTAACCCCTGCACCCCCAGGGAGGCCCGCACGACTTTAATTTTTAAAGGAAAGTGCATGACACAGAATAGAACTCCCGGGAGTAATAACCTTTTGTTCTTCATAGGTGTTTCCTGACCTTCACTTTGGGGATCCCTCTCCTCCCCCCAAACATGCCTGGCCTCAGAGTCACCCCCAGCGCTTGGAGGCAGGAAGTCCTTGGTCATCATTGTGTGATGAGAACTTCTGGGTTTCTGGCCCAGGGTGGGGTGGCGTCACCTGAAACCCATTGCTATGCCGACAGCGTCCCTGCTGTGCCATCTGCGGCCTGCCCAGGGCACTCCTGTGCTGGGGGCCACCCCTGCTTCATTCCTGTCCATTCGTTCCCTTAAATTCTGAGGGGATGGGTCGCAAGGGGTTAAAATCAAAGGGTGGGCAGACTTGGTTCCCTCCTGAGGTTGAAGGAGAATCCATTCCCCTGCCTGTCCCAGCTGCTGGAGGCTGCCCATGTTCCTGGGCTTGTGGTCCATCCATCCTCCAGGCGGGCCAAGGCTTCTACAAATCGCCCTCTCCTGCTTCCGCCTTCACCATCGTGTCTGGCTCATCCTCCTGTCTCCTCTTTAAAAAGTTTGATTACACTGACACCCCCCCCCCATCATCTAGGGCACTCCCCCGACTCAAGATCTTTAATATAATCACAGCTGCCAAGGACTTCTTGCTGCCTGAGGGCACACAGCATCAGGTCACAGGGATTAGGATATGTATCTCTTTGGGGGATTATTCTGGACCCTGTAGACAGGGGCCATGGTTACTCCCACTTTACAGATGAGGACACTGAGGCTCAGAGGACATGCCCAAGGTCACACAGCAGATGTGGAGCAGCTGGGACTTGATCTCTTACCTCCGTCATTGAGAGCAGCATGCTGCTTTATGCTTCCTCCTGGTGATGGTGGGTGCACGCAGCCCCACACCTGCAAGGGGTCCTGGGCATTCTCCCTCATGGCCGAATCACCAGCACGGGCTGCTGGTCTGCTGAGCGAGGCCAGGATGCAGGCAAGTTCCCACCAGCACCTGCCATTTCCAGCCCAGCAGCCCTGGCCTGTGTGCCCGGGGCTGCCTGTCTGTCTGTGCCCGGGGTTTGTCCCGTCCCTCTGGGCCTGGCCCGTGTGGGAGCAATGTTGGTCCAGCTGGGCGCTTGTTGGATACACAGCAGCTCGGCCATGCCACGGCCCACTGAGTCAGAACCAGCTGCCCCGCCATCCTCACTGAGAAGGGCTGGCCCACCCTCCAGCCCTGCCTCCGCCTCTCCCAGGCCCTCTGCAGGTGTCTGGGCCAGGATGCCCGCAGCCAGGTGGGGGTGGGGGAGTGTCAGGAAGTGTCTGTGTGGCTCTTTCTGTCTTGGCTTCTGGGAGCTGGCAGTGGAAGAGGTCCCGGCTAGCAGTCCTAGGAGCCCTACAGCTGGTGGGGGAGATGGCCCGGCAGCTGCGGGGACTCCAGGGCCTCCTGCGGCTGCCTCTCTCCAGGGCACAGCTGGGCAGCTGTCTGTGCAGCGCAGGGCACCAGGTCCTGCCTCCCCTGCATTAGCCACGGTGCGTGGCGATGGGCAAGCGTGACATGACTTTGACCTTGGGGTGTAGTCTGCTCCCCCTCACTCTGAGAGTGCCTCAACATGTTGGCCTGGTACGTTCTGAGCACTGTGGAGTTTTGGCAGAGTGGCTGATAAGTATTTTTAGTGCTTTCCTCCTTAATGTTGGCCAGAAACCCATAGTCATTACTCATGAACAGGGCACGCTTCCTCCCTGTTTCCAGAAGAGTCCGGGATGTCCTCCCATGCCCACTGAGGGGCCCTGCCCTGGGCTTCTAAGACATCTCTGAAGTCAGCATAATGCCAACACCTATGACAAAGCACCACCCCTGCTCTTTTTCATAGGATAAGCTCTCATTTAAAAAAAGTAATTAATTGTCAAAATAGTGGCACAATATAGATCATACAAAATTTACCATTTTACCACTTTTAAGCATGTAGTTCAGGGCATTAAGCACATTCATATGGGGCCGTCATGCCCGCCTCCTCTGCAAGTCTCTGCATCGTGCCCGGCTGAAACCCTGTGCCCTCCCACCCTCTGCCACCCCGGCACCCCACTTGTGTCTGTGACTGTCCCTGCTCTGGGGGTCTCCTATGAGTGGGCTCACGTGGGAGCTGTCCTTTCATGTCAGCAACACAGTGTTTGTCTTTTGTGAATGCCTTCAAGTTTCACCCACGATGTAGGTCCCAACCTCCTTAACAGTCACTCGTCTAACTGACAAAAGCCACGCTAAATTAAAACACAAGTGCATTTTTGGTTTTGGACAAGTCGTTTTTGGGTAGACTGGAGCTTGCCCGTGAAGGCAGGGCAGCGTCTGCTTTCCAAAGAGGAGGCGCAAGGAGCAAGACCCCACCATCGGGGCTCCAGGGGTGCTGGCTGGGCACCCGCAGGCTTGGGGCACAGAACTCCTTCCCCAAATGCCAGGACACCAATCACCTCTGCCAAGGGGACCACGCCAGCCTCCTCAGCATCTTCCCTCCCGCTTCCCCTTGTGGATCTTATTTTTTAATGGCTGTACCTTCCAGACCGCAAGGGACAAGACTCCCTCAGAAAAATCTCACCGTCGGTGGAGGGATAATAGCCCCAAGGATCCAGTCCAGTAAACACAGATTCTTTTGTGATGTGCTTTCCAAGTGAAGCACACGCTTTGGGATTAATTAAACTCTTTTCTAGCTGCCTGCCAGTGTAACCTTTCTTTTATGCTTCTTAGGGGGGCACACGGTGTAAAAAGTCAAATCTATTATGTTCATGACTTGGAGGGGAAGATCTGGGACAAAATTACCCAACACACTGTGTTTTTTAATTTTTTTTCCCCGAGTATTGGGTCAAACGGGAAGTTCTTTGAGCCATGTGTGAGCTGAGCAGTGGGTTCAACGCAGAAGAGAAGTGATTTAGAGTTAAAGCCACAGAGACCCCTGTTGACAGAGTGAACCCCAATGATCAGCACACTTGGGGGCATGTGCAGAGGTTTGTGAAAGTCGAGTGCTGACTAAGTAAGCCTTAGCCCGGGTTCTCGTTCCAATCTTGCTGGGATTTCGAGTGCACGACATAGAATTAATTTTACAGTGACTTCTTTTCACTGTTTCTTTCTTGACAGTGTCACTTATCTGATCTCTCAACTGGTCAGGAAAAAATCTGTATCAGCCATCGCTGGAGCCCAGATGGGGTCATCTGGCCGCAGCAGGAGGCAGCAGGGAGCCTCGGCAGGCGTGGAGCCGAGACGAGATGCTTTCCTGGAAGAAGTTGTTCCAGCGGCTCCATCTCCACGTCCCATGAGTATCTTTCAAGTCTTCCCTCTTCCTGGCCTCCATCTCTAGGAGCTTTGGGAAAAAAACAACACACTTCCATTTTTAAGAATTTGGCTTTTCACTTTATATCAAAGCACATACCAGGTAACAAAAAACAGAAAAGAGATAAAGTTGAAAAGCAGCTTACTTACCCCCTCTCTCCCCAGAGCGACCTTCCTGTCTCAGGCCTGCATTCCCGAGGGCGACACCACTTTTGTTCACTTTATCAGTTTTAGACACTTTTTTTTTTTTTTTTTTTAAAGATTCATTTATTTATTTATGCAAGCACTGGGTACAGTCAGAAGCGCAGGAGGGTGAGAGGATTCACCAGAGCCAGAGTGGGGAGCAGAACAGGCAGAAGGACCGAAGTACACTGCTGAGGGGAGCAGCGGGCGGCAGGAGAGGTCTGCGCGCCATGTGGGACCCTCGCTGGCGGCCAGGGATTGAACCGGTGCTGCAGAAGCTGCGGGCAGCTTTGCAGCCCAGCGCTCAACCACTGCACCACTGGGGAGACCCCAGTTTTGGACACTTTCTTTTGACCCCCTAACTGAGAAGAGAAGGATCCAGTTCACCCACCCCACCCCTTCTTCCTTGCCCTCCTTTTTTTTCTTTTGCTAACTGCATGATTGAACTGGCATTCACATACCATAAAATTCACCCCATTAAAACATACAATTCAGTTTTTTCTAAAGATTTATTTATTTACTTATTTATTTATACAAGCACTGGGCACAGTCAGAAGCGCGGGAGGGTGAGAGAATTCACCAGAGCCAGAGCGGGGAGCACAGCAGGCAGAAGGACCGAAGGACACTGCTGAGGGGAGCAGCGGGCGGCAGGAGAGGTCTGCGCGCCATGCAGGACCCTCCTCCGGTGGCCGGGGAGCAGCCGGGGATCGAACCTGCGCCACAGAGGCCGTGGGCAGGTTCGCAACCCAGCGCTCAACCGCTGCACCACCAGGGAGGCCCCAATTCAGTTTTTTCTTTACAGCACATTCCCAAAGCTGAGTAAACGTGTCTAAATCTGGAGTGAGCTCCAGTCTCCAAATCCAGAACATCTTTGTCCTCTCCAAAGAGACCCCGAGTCCCCGAGCGGTGGGTCCTCACTCACTCCTCTGGCCAATCCCAGCAATGGCGGACTTCCTGCATCCTCACCAACACTTGTTATTTTTCTGTCTTTTTCCACCTAGTTGTCCTAGTGGGTGTGAAGTGGTTTCTGCTTGTGGATTTGATTTGTGTCTCCCAAGTTGCTGCTGATTTTGAGTTTTCTCTTCACGAGTTTCTTGGTCACTTACAGATCTTCTTTGGCGCAACGGCTGTCCAATCTCTCGTTGATTCTTAAATTGGGTTGCTTGTTTGTTGAGGTATAAGACTCCTTTATGTTTTCCGGATACTGGGTCTTTATCAGATACAGGATTTGCAATTATTTCCGCCCATTCTGTGGGGGTCGCCTGTTTACCTGCTCGATGGTACCCTTTGCATCTCAAAATTTTAAATTTTGACAAAGTCCAATTTACTTATTTTGTCTTCGATCGCTTATCCCTTTGCTGTTAATATCTAAGAAATCATTGCCTCATCCAAGGTCACAAAAATTTACTTCTGTTTTCTTCTAAATTTTTTATCCTTTATCTTCTTCTTTTCCAGTTTGCAGAATCATCACACGGCTGCTGGAATGTTCATACCTGTTACTGCAAATTCAAAGCCCAGGTAAACTCCTGGGGACTTTCTTTGGATCAGGACGGGGCTGCCTATACAGGTTTGTCTGAGATTTTCACAGGCTTGGTTTTTTCGTGTAGGTCTCTGATAGGAATTATGTGGCGTGTGGAGACCATTTTGGGGAGTTGTCATCTTAACAATATTGTCTTTCAGGCCATAAATACGGGATCCATTTATTTAGGTCTTCTTTAATTTCTTTCAATACTATCTTGTAGTTTTCACTTTTTGATGCTGTTGCAAATGGAATTATTTTCTTAATTTCATTTTCAGTTTGTTCATTGCTAGTGTATAGAAATGCAATTGATTTTTGTTATTGATCTTGTATCCTGCCGTTGGACTTGTTCACTAGTTCTGATGGTTTTGTCTCTGTGTGTTCCTTAGGATTTGCTGTGTACACCATCATGTCATCTGTGCATACAGATAGTTTTATTTTCTCTTTTCTACTGTAGATGCTTTTTGTTTTTCTTGCCCTGCCTGGAACTTCCAGTACGATGTTGAACATCCTTGTTTGTTCCCTGTCTTAGGGGGAAAGTACTCTGTCTTTATCCATTAAGCCTGTGAACTTTTCCTGGACGACTTTTGTTTTTTGTTTTTTATTTTTTATTTTTTATAGAGGCATGTTTTATTTATTTATTTGTTTGTTTGTTTGTTGTTTATACATGCACTGGGTACAGTCAGAAGCGCGGGAGGGTGAGAGAATTCACCAGAGCCAGAGTGGGGAACAGAGCAGGCAGAAGGACCGAAGTACACTGCTGAGGGGAGCAGCGGGCGGCAGGAGAGGTCTGTGCGCCATGTGGGACCCTCCTCCGGTGGTCCTGGACGACTTTTATCACGTAAAGGATGTTTCTGTCTGTTCCCAGTTTGCTGAATGTTAATGATGTGAGGGAATGTTGGGTTTTGTCAAATACCTTTCATGTGTTTAATTGAGTTAATTTATGCTATTTTTGTCCTAGTATGTCATGTAGCTAATAAGCTATGTTACACTGGTTAATTTTCATGTTAAACCAGCATTGTGTTCCTGGGATAAATCCCATTTGGCCATCGAATCCTTTTTATATGTTGTTGCATTTGACTTTCTAGCATTTTGTCAAGGGTTTGGGCATCTATTTCCAAAAGCCATATTGGTGTGTGATTGTTTGCATGCGTGCGCGTTTGAGTGTGTGTGTGTGTGTGTGTGCATGTGTGAAGTATTTTGGCTACTAATTCAATCTCTGCTCTAGTCGGTGGCGCCAGTTTTCTATCCTCGAGTCCTTGTTGCATTTTTCCTGTCCTCTTAATGTTTGATATTGACATAATTCTTCTAAATTCTTCCATCAGTGGCTTTACTCATTTTATAGACTTCTCTTGATGTTTTTGTATGTTAACGGTCCACAATTTCACTTGAACCCGTATCAGATAAGGATAGTTAAACCTCATGCTTTCCTCCCTCCTTCCTTGCCTATACATCTATTAGCTACACTTTCACTACTTCAAGATTGGTACCATTTACATCCCATTCTGACAACACACCAAGGCTTGGTTCCTCTGCCTGTGATTTGAATTGAAAAGACACAAGCAGATGAGTAACTTTATGTTACAATGACATCCTCAGGTGTATTTAATGCCTGGCCTTGGAGTGAACTCTGTGCCGTATCTCTAAATTAAAAAAAAAAAGTTTTTATTATAGCTCATTGGTTGCTTAAAATTAGGGTACATTTTATTTGCTGCATTTTGAGACCCTTATTTCTTGCATATTTTTTGTTGTTTTCCTAGAGGGGTCTATTTGCTTCTCCGCCTCCTTTTCTTTTTCTTGCATGATCTGCCTTAGTTCTAGTCTCAATTCTTTTTTTTTTCTTTCTTTTTTTTTTTTCCCCCAAAGATTTATTTATTTATTTATACCAGCACTGGGCACAGTCAGAAGCGCGGGAGGGTGAGAGAATTCACCAGAGCCAGAGCGGGGAGCACAGCAGGCAGAAGGACCGAAGTACACTGCTGAGGGGAGCAGCGGGCGGCAGGAGAGGTCTGCGCGCCATGTGGGACCCTCCCCCAGAGGCCTGGGAGCAGCCGGGGATCAAACCGGCACTGCAGAGGCTGCGGGCAGCCTTGCAACCCAGCGCTCAACTGCTGCGCCACCGGGGAGGCCCTCTCAATTCTTTTTTGATCTCTCCGTCATCCCATCTATTTCCACCAGAGACTGTCCTCTGCAGCTCTCTGCTTCCTGCTCATCCCCAGCTGCCGACCAGCTCCCTCAGTTCCTCTGAGTCCTGGCTCTTCCCTAGTCTGTCTCTTTCAGGATCCTTTCTCCCTTTAAGTTTCCTTTTGGTCATTTTGGAAATTGACCCGAGTTTTCCCATCTTTAAAAGAAAAGTCTAGATCTCTCTGGGATGTGACTTCAGCAGAATTTAGAAGGCAGCGATGAGCTCATATTGCAAATCTGCCTCAAATGCCCAGCAGCAAGAGGTGTGACACAAAATCAAGGAATTGATTTCATTGTTAATTTCTCGTGACTTTCCCCTGGTTTTGACTAATTATCCACCCTGCAGGCTAGATTAATTTTTGAGTTTAATATCATTATATATTGTTCAATCAGATAAAGGGACCATCAAGGTTAAAACTGTTCTGCGGTCACCACTTTGCTTTTCTCCGAAAATGGAAAGGGTAAGAATTTACTTCTTTAACATTCAAGTTAAGTCCAAATATTGAAATTTTAGAGGAAGATAATTTAATGCATAATCCCTGCTGAGTGCTTATTAAACATAATAAGACCGCCTACTATGGGGGCAGAATTGATGTTTGAATCAGGGCTCTCCTTGGACAATTTTTGCCTCAATTCAAGACATTTTTTACAAGGGGCAAGCAAATTGGATGTGCTGACGTTCTTTGTAAGAAAAGACTTATAATATGAGCAGGAAAGCAAGAAATTAAGATGTTATACCTACAAGCTTCTTAGGGGGCTGAGTGGACACTCAGATTCCAGCAGATCTCATGGCAGCTCTGTTCACATGATGAAGCAGATGGGGAGACACATTTTTTTTAAATTACGGGAAAAAGTCATCCCAGAAATAAATTTAGGTATGTTGGAGGATATTAAAATCATGTAAAAGTTAAGATGGGGCCTCCCTGGTGGCTCAGGGGTTAGTCTCAGTGCTAAAAAGCTATCACCAGCCACTGCGGCACAAGTTCAATCCCCCACCAGGGAGCTGGCCCACATGGCGGAGCAGACCTCTCCTGTCTTGCCTGCTGCTCCCCTCAGCAGTGGATTTCAGTAGATCAGCCTGTTCTGCTCCCCACTCTGTCTCTAGTGAATCCTCTCACCCCTGCACCTCTGGCCTATATCCTAGTTCTCGCATGCATAAAAAAAAGTTGAGATGTTTGGCATCAAAGATGACCTTAATGATTTTTAAGGAGTATCTTTGCCTTCATCAACACAAACCTTTGGACAAATGTTAGATCAGACATTCAAGTAATGATA